ATTAAAGTCACAAGGTGCCAGGTCGGGACTGTACGTGGGATGGCTCATAAGGTCAATATTATCCACCTGCAAAAATTCATTTGTCTGTCTGGCCGTGTGAGAACCGGCATTATCGTGGTGCAAGATATGGCGTTTACGGTTATTTTTACGGAGTTTGTCAATAACTTCCGGCAAACAAACGACCAGTGTACCAATCACTATTCACGGTGCAACGATTCCCCAAAGCAACAGTAGCCAAGTGTCCAGTTTTATTTAAAAAAGAATATACGCTCGATTACTGCTTTTTCTTGGGATTGTAACTATAAATCCATGTTTCATGTCACCTGTTACTATGTCCCACACCAAATTAAGCAATGGTAAGCATGGCATTGCACCAAGTGACGCGATCCGTTTTTTGAGCCTCAGTCAAATTGTGTGGGATCCACCGAGAGCACAGGTATTTCACACCCAAATGTTTGTGTAGTATTGATTGTATTTGACTCATGCTTACGCCTAAATATGCCCAAATCTCATGGTATATCACATGCCTGTCTGTTTTGATCATACGGCGTACAGCATCGATGTTTTTGTTGTTCACAGCAGTGGACGGGCGACCATCACGAAATTTGTCACTGAGACTCACACGACCGCGTTTGAATTCTGCAAACCAGCTATAAATAGTCGTCTTGCATGGTGCTTCATCGCCAAAAGCAGTTTGAAGCCGAGAGAAGCTCCGCTGAACTGTTAAATTACACTTAAAGTCGTAGAAAATCATACTATGAAAATTTTCACGAGTTAAATCCATGGTGATGTAGACAACCAATTTCTAAAATGACGCCACAATGTAAAACCAAGTGACAGTCAGATGAAACAAACTGTATTCTACAGCCAAAGAGTTCCATTTTCAAATGTTGTAATTATTTTTTTAAATATTGTTAATGTAAGTGGCCAGTTCTGGAAACTTATAATACGCCCTATGTACATAACACAAAATCACTAAAAAATGCGTGCTTTACTGCCAAGTAATCTGCATCAGTGCTTGATCCGTCGCAAATGTTGTAAACTTCCGATTGAATGTCGTGGAAGCAGAAACGGAAACGCGTGCGGAACTTCCGCAGTTGCAGATGCAGAAGCAGGGTCTGTCGCACCACTGGTACTAACATCTAGTATACAGTTTTTGCTACATAATAGTTTTAATCTCGTAAATAGCAAAATTTAGAATCTTCTTGTAGATGTGTACATTACCCTTTAATGAATTTGTAACTTCGTGAAGACAAGTGTCAAGAACTAGTAATTTTATTTTATTTACAGTCAGAAAATAGGCGTTAAGCTGCTTAACTATATTCTCGGCACACTACAGAATAAAAGCATGCCTTTTATATCTCCACCAGTTCTCATTGTTACGTATCTATACAGGTTTATAAATTTCCGACAATATATCAGCTGCTAATTGTACTATTCTACGTACACATTCCACGTACTATAGTACGCCGCCGTACAGTATTAGTTTATTTATAGCGGATAGCTCTGGGAAGCTTATGGAACAACATTATTAAACAAGTTATAGGTGCTCTATTAAGTTGTTTCTTCGATAAATGAGAATTAAGAAATATTTAATTTAAAATACTAGAAAAATATAAAAATAGTTATTTACGTGCCAAAAAATCGAACGTTTTGATAGAAGTTTTTTACTTGCTTTTTGGTGTCTTTTGCAAAAAGTTGCTAATATTTATTGTGGCAGTGGCATTTTATAGATTCGCTACTTGTTTCATCCAAAAATAAAGTTTCTTTATGACAAATCACAGATTGATGTCGTAGACGTTAGTGTCGTGTGACAAGAGGACAATAAATTTGTACCCTTATTATTTTAAAATCACATGATATTAATACGAATAATATTAAGTGACGGGACTAACAGATCGCGCGCTTGACTGTAAACTACACGCCTGTCTATAAGAGTTGCAGTGCCACTTAGAATTTTAAATCGCAATGATATGAGGGGCAGCGGTCACCTGTCACCCTGAGACATAACTTCACAAGTCCCATGGGCCTGGAATTTCACCACCTGAAGGCTGCGTTCCCACTTTGACGTGATGACATATAATCGTGCAGTTCAAAGTGTCGTGGTTTGTATATTTTAAAGGGGTTGTTAACATATAGCACAACACGATTAAATGTCGTTCATGACTTTTTTGGAGTTATGACAACAGACTGTCAAGACTATGGGAAGTGCAGAACGACTATAAATAAAACGGCATAATAAAAATGTGACGACCACAGATAGTGACGACAGATAATCGCAGCTACCATTGTTGTCACGTTTTATTTATCTTTGTCTCATCAAAAATTGCGTTTAAGTTTATTGTAAGGGTGCAGGTGAAATTACAGGCACATGGGACTTGTCAACTTATGTCTCAGGGTGACGGGCGCAGTGGCAGTGCCCATAATATCTTTGCGACTTAAAGCTCTGAGTGGCACTACAACTGTTATGGATAGGCGTGTTGATTACCATCAGATGCACGACTTGTTCGACCCGTCACTTGCAAACAAATATGAGCGTACGTTTAAAATAAACGTGTAAATAATGTAACGTAATAGTAATTGCGTCATTCGAACTTTTCGAAACATTACATATATTTATAATTTAAAAGTATAACTTACGTAGAGTCATAATCCATATATCACATTGACCACTACTACTACGATACTACCGTCCCTTACAAATAATTTTGTCAAAAAATTTTCAAAGAATGTCGAGTAAAGTTGATTCTTATTCACTAGGGATGAGAATTTTGAGATCTACTGTAGGTACATTATATTATTGATATAGTTGTGACAATGGTGACCTGAAGATGCACACTAGTAGGTAATTGTGACACTTCATAGTTATAATTTCGCACTCTATGTGTTATAAGGCCACATCCCGCAAAATGAAAACATTTTGGAAGGGAAATTTAAAGATTTTACAAAACTAATTAGTCAATAATATTTTGTTGCTTAGGCGCTTTAGAACCAAGTCCACATGTGGCTTTATGGGCAAGGGTACGAATTATTGTCATATTATAACACCTATTTAAATTTTAAAAGTGACTCATGGACACGTGCAAGATTATTAACATCTCGAAGCAGTAAGAACTAAAACTTGTGTCTTGTTTTATTTATGCAAATTTAGATTATGACTCTACATAAGTTATATTTTTAAATTTTAAACTAAATTAAATATAATATAGTTAAAATATTATTACTTTATATTATTTAAACGTACGTTCATTTAACTAGGCCAAAGGGAAAATTGTAACACCGCGATGGAGGAAATAATTTAAAATGGGGTAACGCCATCTAGCGTTATAACCGAAATAATATCTCGATGATATTCCGTATTTAAACACTTTTGTTAGTTGAAGTACTTTTTCTTTTTAAATAAATTAGGATTATAATAATAATTTATAATTGAAATACAATTATTTACTTTTGATACTTTCAAAGTTCGTTGTTCAACGTCGCGTTCGTATCCCTTGCCAAGCGTGCAAAAGGCAATCATCGTTTGCTTTCAGATTCTCATGAAAAATACTCCTTTCGTTGTAGATCATACTAAACTAACGGACATCGAGGCTGTAGGTGATAATGGTGATTCTTCGACCTTGGGAGAACATTTTCTTCTGACTTTCAAAACTTAGCAAAAGTTATCAACGAGAAGTTTTGAAACAAAGTAAGATGCAAGATTCCGCCGCTATCGGCAGCGCCGCGTAATTTATTTACTTGATGTGTCTTTTAACCGAGCATTCCGACCGACGAACTGGCAAAGAACATGCACGCGCGTACTGGACATTGAGTACATTATACCTACAATGTGACCGGTACTGGTACGTAGTTTCACTAACAAGGACGACATTATTAACATGAATCAGCAAATAAAAATTTAAAAAGCGCTGTACTTGCTGACCAGCAAGTATCGGCTGTTGCTGTAGGACCCTCAAAATCAAATTATCATGAAAGCTAATAAGGATTTGATGATGCAAGTATTGGGTTAAGGACTATGTTGGGCGTTTGCATGTCAGTGTATACTAGTGTGTGTAGAGGGAACTTCGAGCAACAACAACTAGGAGTTTTAATGATGTTTAGTTGTAAAGGGAGTAAGGGAGAGTTTTACTCTAAAAATGAATGAATAAATGAAATCAAATTACAGTGACATCATAGAGCAGCAACATTAGGTAATTATAGAAAAATAGTAAGTTAATGTGTAATGTGTGCAACAGGCGGCCCAATTTCTTCCAGGCAACCTTAGGATAAAAATGTAGGATATGTAAAAAATTAAGTACATGGATATGTGGCATATCGCAGACCCATCTTTCTAGTTGGGAATAAAACCGATACGAGTGACCGTCGTCAAGCCTCTCTGAGGCAGTTCTGTATTAACTATTGTTTTGGGCATTTGTGGGGGGTCTGTAATGGGCTGTAGCGCGGTGGCGCCGTACTCACACATGCGCGCACACCTGACGCCGGCGGTGGCGCCAGCCGCCGAGCCCCCCGCCGACCGTCCTACCCGCCGCGGTGTAGCCCACCTAATTTCTTTGCCAGTTTTTGGGGAAACGTCCTATTCAATTCTTTATACAGTATATTTATTTGTCAGCTTAAAAACTGATTGCGCCTAGTCACATTTTACGCGTAAGAAGATGAGAAGAATACTTATTTTATGTTACTAGGGAATAATCGACTCTTTATACTTACTTAGTCTGGTTTTTGGGTTTGATTGCCATTTAGCCACAGAATCTTGTTATTAGTTTGGCTTTCAGCGTGATCAAGATTTCAACTTTTAATTAGGTATCCCGTAACTTAATCTGAAAACATTACAATCCGAGACGGGAACAGGTTCATGAGGAGTGGCACCCAGGCGGGCACGATGCATGCAGCGGGCGGTTGGCAGGAGGTGGGGAGGGCGCGGCGGCGGGCGTCAGCCGTCAGTCGAGTGGAGGCACGCGGCCAGTGATGTGCGTGAACGCGCGAGCGAATGTCGCGTGGGTCGAGCGGGCGCAGGGCTCGTGACGCCGGTGGCGGCCGCGGCATGTGATGTTCAAGAGACACGCGCTGCGGCGGCGGCTGGCGGCCGCGGGCGCCGCCGCCGTCTCCGATGAACAGGTGCGGCGCCTGGCACGGGCCTTGGATGCGGGCGCCGCCAGCACCGAGTGCGTGCCGGGCCCCGGCGGCGCCCAGCTCCGGCTAGCCGCTAGTCGCGCCTTCCGGTTCCCCGACCTCCGTGAGCTGGGAGAGCTGCGAAGGCTTCCACTGTGCACCGACCAGCACTGTTGCAACCCTTACCACTGGAGCCGCCTCTGCAAACCCGGTACGTCTCGGCCGATGACCCGCGCAACAAGTGCACGTAAACACTCGAATCTCGCCACCGCCTTGTGCTTCGAGCGGAATGCGTCAAATGCATTTACGGGTTTAGTGAATGGTTGTTAGTGCTTTGATGGAAGAAGTCTATGTTATTACTGTAATCCTGCATACCGTAGTAGTCCATGGCTGCATCGATTTTGTTGCCATTTTCTACATTGAGAATGTGTTGATTGTAATATTACCAATATCAATCAAAATTACAAAGAATTAAATACTCATTCGAGGTTGTTGTAATGTGTGTGATTTCCAATCAGGTTGAAACTCTGCTTCTCTTTTCTCTCTTGAAACTCATCGGAACCCCATTGAGTATTCAATTAAAATATCTTACGTTGTGTGGTGAAGATTAAGTTCTAGATCGGTTGTGTGTACGAGCCCTCGGTCACATTACCCCCTGCGCGGGTAACTTGGGCACTATGTATCATGTTATCAGTGCAATGGTTATCAGGCTTGTTATCGCTACCGTGGGTTCGTCTATCAGTATTACGCGTCGTGACATCATCGTCTCGTGCGCACTCCGCTCCACATCCCAACAAACATATTCCCGTATACACTCTCTTATTAGTAAGTACTCCTCAAACAAGTTTTCATCTGAACGTCCATAGCTTTCGGTCCTTATAGCATATTGTAAACATCTTCGTTCGTTAGTCTATTTTTAGAGGCTGACATCAGCCGTCGTATAGTTTCTTTGGTTTGTTTTATCAAAAACATAAAGGTCACTCCTTTATAGACCTTAGCGATGGTTATCATTAAATTGATACTACCAATTTTCTGAAAATTGTCCGTGATTTCTTATTTTCATTCCTTAACACATCGTTACAGAGTTTAAATTTAGTCGTTCTGACGAACAGATTGCAAGATACAGAACTAACGACATAAATGAAAGTTTTAATTATGTCAACGACATTACAACGTCGGCGTAAGCAAAGTAAGCACCTATCACCTAATCTGCGACTGAGGGTCATGCGTTCGCGATAAGTAGACAAGGTCACGGCGCTGGCGCCGGCGTGCCGCGACGCCCGGCGCGCGCGCCGCCCGTTAACTTTTTAATTCGTCAGGCGATGGCGCTACCGCCCGGCAGCCTTTGTACTCACCAGCCGCCTCCTTGGCGCTTCCTTCTTGTCATTATGACCTCTTTGGCACTGTATCTTATTAAGTTTCATCAATATTCCTAGCAATCTTTTTCCTCAATCTATATTCTAGGAATGGAACAGTTTCTTTTTAACTTTCTCTTGTTAAATGACGTAAATTGTCGCTCTTCAATTGGCTCATGTATGTGTAGAATATTTTCTCTCCTTGATAGGTAATCGGATACCAAAGGATCAACTTGTAACTAATTGTAAAGCACTTAAGTGTTCTATACTTATTCACTCATGCTGGAGTGTTACTATATTTAGATAAAAGTGAAGTGGTTCTCAGATTCTCCAAAGTTATATACTTTAAAGAACTTAAGTTTGACTACATTTCCATACCTCAATTTCCCGTTTCCTAAGTTACAAGTCAAGAGTAAAGATAAAATGATCGAGCCGTTAAATTTGATGATTCCGAACTAATGAGTGGCCATGACATCGACTCACGCGCAGAACACATCGCCCACAAGTCGCCGCCTACACCATCGGCTCTCATACTTTGGAGCTGAGACGTAGGCGTGTCGACAATGCCTGTTAGCATATTAATTAAGAGGAAAGGCTAGAAAAAATATGAATATTAATACTTCCTAATGTGGGTAGGGTCTGAGGGCCTCTTGCGGGTACTACGTGGTCACTGAACTCCGTTTAGATTACTCAATAGGCATATTGCATTTGTCCCTTTAAGCTTTTAAATTTAATCCATTAGCATTGTCCGAATTGATTTCTTCAAACCATTTCTCATTTTCCCGATTCTGTGAGTTTATAATCGTGCAAATTCCTCTAGATCTTCGGCACTACAGTCGCTTTCGTCGCATTCCCTTATATGGACAGTACACTGATCAATATAGATTGCTATATAGTTCAAATCGATAGTGCTAGATCCTGTTATGTTTCAGAGAGTGATCTTGCTTTCACTTTCCTATCGTAAATTTGTTTGTGCCGATGCTTGTTTAGGTTAATTTTAGTACTTCGTCTTCGTGTACTTAATAATTGTAGCTCGTGTTACGTTTGATAATTCTTCAAAGCCTTCAAAAGTCACTAACATCCGTTCTCCTGTCTCGCAGTTTCTGCTATAAACATCAGTAATTTGCAAGATACGTATATCTAAGATAAACTTTTTGACGTATAATTCTAATTTACAACGTTTTTATTTTGCCGCCGCCGCCATAGCCCAATTAGTGCTACGACGAGATTAATTTTCGTCAAGTCGGAAATTGCCCTATTGAATTCCGAGACACCTGGCCTCGCCTCGAAATATCCTCCGTCAGACCTCACCTGCGCAAGCAACGAGTTTGGAATACCGTACGTCGATGATACAACGATATCGATCGATGTGTTCTTTTTTCTCGGTATGTTTTTTACATCATCACACTATAAAGTTTTCTTTGTTTTTACATGGTCTTAAAAGATCTCTGATTGTTTTACCGTTCCTTGAATTCAATATCTTAAATTTATATCTTTTTGTCAGTAGCTCTAATATTTTAATTATGCAATTTAATCATAATTTATAGTATATATAGAAATCAAAAACGTCGATCAGACAAAACCCTTGAGGAAACTCACCTGCGGTGCGCAGGCGACTTTTTGCGGCGGCGGCGTCGGCTGGCGGCTCGTCGCCGCGTTTTTGTCAACTTTCGCGGCTGGTTCCCACAGTGGCAGACTAAATATAGTGCCCCGCGCATTCGGCATTCTTTTGATTTGTCTGCAAATTTATTTGCATTTTTTTTCCGACTTTTAAAACAATTATGTCTATAGACTGCAATTTTTGTTGATTCACCTCTACTTCAATGTCCTATGTCATTCCTACTTCGTTAACTTAAACTTTTGCGTAAATTGTAATTGGAATAGTCCAAAAGTCTGTAGCTCTCGTAACTCGTATTTATCGACAACTTGAACAGTTTTAAGTGTCTTTTTAAGACCTTTTGGTTCAAGCTGTAAGTTATATTCGATCAACTTAACAACATACGTAGTTCACATTATGTTGTACATTTACAGGTGCAATATAAAGCGTATCAATTTCAATTTTACGATTGCACTGTGAGCATCAACAGCTGTTCTCTGCACCTGCTTTATTTCATTTACGTTCACTATTTATTTGCTCTAAGTAATATAATACAATATGCTTTATTTCTCTCAATAAGGTATAGTTACAGTGTATAAATACATTACTAAAAAATAAAAATAATAATAAATGCGTTATGTTTTTGAATTTTAAAATTAAAAGGAATGGAAGGAAGTTTTGTTGATCAGCAGTAATTGCCTCGGAATTGTAAACGAGTCTTAAAAACAATTGTCCGCTGTTCGTTTTGGGGTCGAGGAATCCAGAAATAATTTACGCACATCAATCTTTGGAGCGTAGTGCGTGTCGCGGGTGTGTGTGTGATTTGGCGCCAATCGCGGCGCGCCGGCGGCCTCTATTAGTGAATGTTTTTATATTTCGTCCGTCGCACCCCCTGCCAGCGGAGTGGGAGGCAGGGGATCCTTATCTTATCGTGCGCAGGCGTCGACGCGACGCCGCCGACACACAGCCGCAAGCTTCGCACCATTAACGTCATCCAAATTTGTACCGTTGTCATCACGTAGCGCTGCCAGTATCTGTACAGTCATTAAGACCCCCACATTAGAACACACCGGGCCCACATCCGCCACAGCCGAGATTATCTCCAAAGACCATTTACAAGTAATTCTGAGCCCACACGCCATTTCACTGCCATTACATGTCCAAAATTTAATGATGTCGTCTAGATATAGTCATATAAGAATCCATCTGTTGATGTGAGCGTCTCGGAGGCGGCATGGCCGATATTTATTTAGCCATAATTGCTTGTCGGCTGGCTGGCGCCGGCGCCATGTCGCGTCAGGCGCGGGGGCGGCGGGCGGAGCGGCGAGGGGGGTGCGCGGACGCAGGCGGCTGCTGGGCAGGTACGCGATACGCCGCGGCACTGCGTAAACTCAACTCGATTTTCGTGATCACTTTTTTGTCCAGTCTGGTCATGGTTTTGGGCTCCTTTGTTGGATTTGTGAATGGTCTTGTTATTGTGGACGAACAATAGCTTTATGGAAGAACTCGTTTATTGCTACGATTTCTTGTAGACAACATATTTTTTAGTCGGCAAACGGTAGCCGACGATGTTGAGAAATAAAATTTGCATTTTTAATTTTAAGATGAATCACGTTAGAGATATTTTATAGTTTACTTTCTCGGTGGTCCTTTCTAATTCGGTTTGATTGTCATCGTGTTCATTTCTTAAAATCTAGGCATTAATTTCCTTTCTGCGTTAAGTCTCTTAGAAGACCCCTATCAGGACAAGGTGTCCACCAACTGGCGGCACCTGTGCCCAAACCGGTCCCTCCCGTCTCTGGCTCTTGCGAAACTGGTTATTCCGATGTTATTGCACGTTTTGCCATAACATCATAATGTTATGCCTTTGGTTCATTTCTCTACCTTTTTTTTTCTTTATATTTTAGCTCTAAATATTTTCTTTGCAAGGGTTTACTTTATCTACTTAATTTGTAGAAAATTTGGCAGCTTTTATGTTTATCGTCATCCTACCTTTTTATCATCCTTTTTTTGTTCCTGATCACTTATTTGTAAAATTTTGAATCGTTCTCCATTTACTTTTAGGTTACTATTAAAATCATAGAGTTAAGGTCCTTTTGGGCCTTCCTTATCCTGTTTTATTATCTATTACAATAAATCCTTCCGAGCCTTCTCTATTCTTATTTCGCTAAGGCTTGGCTACACATTTTATCCCTGCACAGGGGTAGGCACTTACTACGTTTCTAACAAACCTCTGTCGGCACTTTCACTCGTGATCTC